AGGTGGACGGGGCTTTGAGGCACATACCACGCCCCTTACACCCCTCCCCACCAATGAACACACACGAATCAAAGAGTGACTTCGATACACACTCAGGAAAAGAAGCGCAACCTCAGTGAAAACTTTCCGGCACACCGAGCACCAACACCAGTAAATACAGACACATGGCAGCCCTATGAGGCAGCACAGCAGCTGAGAGCAGCATTCAGAAAACATACAATAAATACACGCATCCGATTCCTCTTTACATGGCGGGGGGGGCACGTCTGTACACGTCTAACCTTTCATGCGAGGGTCGAAATGTCAAAGAGCATCGCGGGAGCACCATGCAAACCTGAACACACTTAAAAATGTCTGTCCCCTCTTATGTAAAGTGGAATGCTTTTTATGAAAAAGATTGTATTGATTTTAACTTTTTGGATTCATGATTTAGACTTTGGAGTGTCTTTTTTTCACTACTTCTTAATCAATTGATCTACAATATACTCTTAAAAATAAAGGTTCTTTATCGGTATCTATAAGCTTTAACATCCATGAGACCTTTCCATTACAAAAAAGGTTCTTTATAGAGGAAAAGTTTCTTTAGATGATTAAAATATTCTTCACACTAAGAAAAAAAAAGGTTCTTTTAAAGGAATAGTGCATCCAAAAATAAAAATCGATTGAAAAATTACTGGCACTTAAGTTATTTTCAAGATGTAGATGAGTTTGTTTCATCCTGAACAATTTGTCAAAATTTAGCATTGCATCACTTACTCACCATTGAATCCTCTGCAGTGAATGGGTGCCGTCAGAATGAGAGTCCAAACAGCTGATAAAAACATCACAATAATCCACAAGTTCTGAGTCCAGTCCATCATATAACATCTTGTGAAGCGAAAAGCTGTGTTTGTAACGGAGTTCTCTATCCATAATATTGCTTTCTCCAGTGAAAAATCTGTTTACAAATCTAAAACAGTTAGAAACAAACATGTTTAATATGAGAGGACAACAGCGAACAGACTTTTTTCACTGGAAGAAGCATTATCATTTGTGTGGATTACTTGTGGATTATTGTGATGTTTTTATCAGCTGTTTGAACTCTCATTCTGACGGCACCCATTCACTGCAGAGAATTTATTGGATCCAAACTCATCTCGTTCTTGGATGGCCTGAGGTTTGAGTAGAGTGGACAATAGAGTGACAACAGGAAAGCATTGGGTGGAGAGAGGGGAGCAAGATTGGCAAAGGACCTCGAGACGGGAATCGAACTCGGGTCACCGTAAACACAGCCACGCTGTATGTCGACGCACTAACCACTAATCTATCGGCGCCGACGAGGTTCTTATTTTTGGGTGAACAATTCCTTTGAGAACTATTCACTGAAAAGTAGTCTGAAGAACCAAAAATGCTTTATGATTTTATTCTAATTTTTAAACCTTTATTTTTAAGAGCGTGTCAGAAAACATTTTTTTTTTAAAGTTGAAAAAAAAAAAAATCTTGTACTCCATCATGATGGATAACATATGAAAACACTTTGTTTTGAAGCGAGCCAATAAAATCCCCAGATGAATGCTACTTTTAGGTAATTCGCAGTTCTTGACTAACCGTGTAGGCACTGCCAGATTTCAAGTTTTTAGTTTTAGAATAATCATGTCATTAACCTGTTTCATGTTTTGCGGACGTTCTTTGTCGGACATGGCATGGGATCAATTTGCGTTCAAACGGTGAAGCGGTCTCTGTGGGGTTTGTATACATTTCGCTGGCATTTTAAACCCAGTGTAGTTTGTAAAGAGGGGAGTTAGTTCAGCTCTCTTGGATCAAATCACATCTCACGTCGTCATTTAGTGAGGTATTTAAATGTTACGTCCTACAGCCTCCACCCCAGGCCTGAGATGAGAAATCCAGACCCCGAAAGCCTCTGAGGAGTCCAAAAACGTTTGTAATGATTCATAAATGCACTGCATATTTAGGTCTGTAACTCAATGCTACATCAGTGAAGACAGAAAGAAAAATTCATCTCATTCCGAAGGAAAAAGTCTGACGTGGACGCACAGGTGCGAGCGATATTTTGCGGACATCCAGTAAACTAAACACACACTTTACTTTAAATCTACCTCGTGCGTTTCTTTACATTTCATTCTCATTTGGCAATCACTATGACATGAAACCTTCCGCCTTTAATTTCAGTTGCACTTAATATCATCACTGTAATTACATCACTTTAACAGCCTCCTCATCAAAAAAGCGTTAACAAAAAAACTATAAAGCTCCATACAGTCTAATAAAGCCATCATAATTTATTTTTTGCATGAATATCAAGCCATAGAACTCATGCAAACACTGATTGTACGTTTATATTTTAAAATAGACAAAGCCTTTAAGCCGTCAAATCGTAAAACTTCTCTGAAACGATGAGAGAAGCATGTTATTTTATTCCTGGATACTTGGCCTTTGGATTGTGATGGATAAATATTTCATTTTTCATAGCTCTAGGCATTGCCATTGGTTTTTGTTCTTCTTCCAGAACATTCAAAGGAACACGGAAATGTTCCCCCATTGGCAATAGCTTTGATTGATATCGTCTAATCTCATGCATGGACCTTCCATCAAATAAATAAATAAAACAAACATACATTCAACCATCATAAATGCACGATTCTCCAGGGTTGAGCATTTTTATAACCTGTCATGTGCTGTTTTCGCATAGTGGTTCAACATGTGGATGTAATATCTGACACGCTTGTGATATCATGTCTGTCGTGCTGGAACAAAATCTGACAGATGAAATATCTGGACGACATACAGTAAAACACGCAATCGTCTGATAGCAGGGGCCCTGCAGACGGGATGGGGAGGGTATAAAGCACATTCAACATGCTCTGGACACTTGGACGCAAGCGTGTGACTTCTGACACGACAAAAAAGGCTTCGCTATACTAATTGGAGCCTGTTCAGGCTTTAGAGTCGTCTGCATTTCGCATCAGATGATGCACTCATATGGGGTTTGATCGCATATGAAATGTTCCTTGAATCATGACATTCAACATGGCATTTTTTTCGAACGTTTATATCAGATGCTTACAGTTACCTCAGATGTTCGAGTTATCAGGGGATCTCTGGGATGTTTATAATCAGCAACAAAAGAACGCCAAGCCCAAAGACCTAGCAAAAATAACGATAAAATTTGATAAAATCACATTGGGTGAATCTCAAATGAACTGAAAAGAAATGTCCAGGTCATATGTCACCTCAAAAAAAAAAAAAATTACACACACACACACACACACACACACACACACACACACACACACACACACACACACACACACACACACACTTTTTTTTTCTGTATAAAGTAAGTCTATACTGACTTTATTTTCATGCCAATGATTTTCTCCTAAAACCTTGCTATTTATTCTAATGCGAAAAGCAAAAAATATTTGAAATATAATAAATAATGATATATTTAAATTGTAAAGAATTTGTTTTAAAGCATACACACAACACCACTGTTTAAAACTTTGGGGTCAGTAAGATTTTTTTTAAATCTTTTTTTATATTTTTATAAATATTACATTATTTTAAATAATGTAATATTATGCAATAAAATATTACTTAAATATTATTCAGCAAGGATGTATTAATCAAACATAACAGTAAACACTAATCATGTAATATTATGCAATAAAATATTACTTAAATATTATTCAGCAAGGATGTATTAATCAAACATAACAGTAAACACTAATCATGTAATATTATGCAATAAAATATTACTTAAATATTATTCAGCAAGGATGTATTAATCAAACATAACAGTAAACACTAATCATGTAATATTATGCAATAAAATATTACTTAAATATTATTCAGCAAGGATGTATTAATCAAACATAACAGTAAACACTAATCATGTAATATTATGCAATAAAATATTACTTAAATATTATTCAGCAAGGATGTATTAATCAAACATAACAGTAAACACTAATCATGTAATATTATGCAATAAAATATTACTTAAATATTATTCAGCAAGGATGTATTAATCAAACATAACAGTAAACACTAATCATGTAATATTATGCAATAAAATATTACTTAAATATTATTCAGCAAGGATGTATTAATCAAACATAACAGTAAACACTAATCATGTAATATTATGCAATAAAATATTACTTAAATATTATTCAGCAAGGATGCATTAATCAAACATAACAGTAAACACTTTTACAATGTCAAAAAATAATTGTAACATTTTGACATTAAATGACATTTAAAAACATTAAAATACAAACAGTTTCTTTTTTAATTGTAAGAATATTGTGCTGTATTCTTAATAATAAATGCAGTCTTGGTGAACTTAAAAGACCTATTTCAAAAGCATTACAAAATTCTTACCAACCCCAAACTTTTCAATGGTACTGCATATACTATATTAATATCTTTTAATGTTGAGGTGAAATATGACTTACAGATTTCTTCATGAGATTTCCCCTACTGCACATACCAGAGAAATCAAAGAACATAAAACAAGAAAAACAGCCCTTGATGGGCCTAAAGGGCTTGGGTGTGACATCACTGACCTACTACTGCTGCAAAGCTCACTTCCAGCAGAATTCATAATGAGCTCCAGAGCTGAACAGTCTTTCCTGTCCCATTAAACCCTGCTTCAGATCCGGGCTGGTGCTGCAAGCCGTCTCTGACCACATTGTTGACACATTATATCTGCGGCACTAAACATTTTGCATGAACCATTTCTGTGGTCATAACGTGGTTCCTGTGTTAAAAAGTCAAAAAGATAAGTGTATATATGTCTCTCGTGTCTGGCTGTGTTGCTTTTTCTGGTTGGTCTGAGAGGGCAGTATTTGGCAGTTAATTGATGAATCGTTTCAATTTTACAGTAGAGTTTGAATCTGCATTAGTCGTATTGTTTTGTGTTGACTAACAAACAAACAATCTTAGGTCATATAGTCGAAGTGTGGTTATGTTGTGGTCTGTATAATAAGCAGTTCAGTCAGTAGTTGTTGTTTCTAGTCTGTAGATGTGCTCTGGTCAGGACAAACAGGTTCTGGTTCCAGTAAGCAGCCAGAGTAGAAGGAGTTGAAGAGCCAACATCGGCCAGAGAGATGGACTGAAACTGCAGCCACCACCACAGTCAGACGCATCCTCCTGCAGTCAATACAGAGATGTTAGTGATTTCAAGCTCATATAAACACACCTACATAACACAGTCAGGCCAGACAGTTCAGTTCAGACAAAGCAGCTTAAAAGTCCTTGCACACAGAGTCTGAAATTTTCATATGCGGTTTTTTTGGGGGAAGTCGTGGCCTAATGGTTAGAGAGTCGGACTCGTAACCCAAGGCTTCGGGATTCGAGTCTCATACCGGCAGGGATTGTAGGTGGGGGGAGTGAATGTACAGCGCTCTCTTCCACCTTCAATACCACGACTGAGGTGCCCTTGAGCAAGGCACTGAACCCCCAACTGCTCCCTGGGCGCCGCAGCAAAAAAATGGCTGCCCACTGCTCCGGGTGTGTGTTCACGGTGTGTGTGTGTTCACTTCTGTGTGTGTGCACTTTGGATGGGATAAATGCAGAGCACTAATTCTGAGTATGGGTCACCATACTTGGCCACATGTCACGTCACTTCACTTTCTTTTCTTTTGTATTCGCCATACTTTCCTATCAAAATGCTTGCTATGGATGCAAAAACGCAGAAAATAGAACCTGATCCGATTTTTTATTTTGATTTTTTCAATGACGGACGAATGTTTCGGAGGCAGTGTGTAAATGTGATTGACACAACGTGAGGTTGTATTTATTTTGTTGTATTTTATGTTGTATTGTTAACAAAAACTAAAATTGAATTAAGGCTGAAATAAAATTAAATATAAACAATAGAAGTAAAACTTCCAACATTTCTAATAATTTTTGTTTTATGTTGTTTTTATTGTTTTATTTTTAATAGCTTTTTTTATGTTGCTTTAGCTCAAAATTGACGAACGTTGAAGTAAAAATACTAAAATTAAAACAGATACAAAAAATTAAAACTAAATAGAAATATTAAAATAATTTAACAAATCAATAATAATAATAATAAAAAATGAAAAAAAAAAACACAAAACAAAAATATAAAAATGACTAAATTAAAACGAAAGCTGAAAATATAAAAATAAAAAGCTAATTAATAAATACTGCAATGGTATACAAATACCACTAACATAACACATGCTAATGATGTTGTTGGACCAGTGTTATTTTACTATCTTAGAAAGTTTGTTAAAGGTCTATATTTAAGTTGTTTTTATTTTATTTTATTTAAAGTTAGTAATTTTCTTGTCTTTTTGTTTAAAGATATATATACAACTATCATAAGTTGGTTTTTCCAGCAGGAAGAAGATCCATAAAGAATGCAACTCAATCAAAAGAAAGTCTGATATATGTGAAATTAAAAATATATTGTGAATATCAAAACATGTTTTGGCTGAAGTGAAAAGGAATAAATCAAATCAATGACACGCATGCAAAAACTCTTGCTGTAGAAATAATGCACGACTCTGACTGATGGTCTATGTTCTGGTCTTCTGAAACTAGACTTGTGTGCTACAGTATGTGCGTGAAGGGCTTGCCAATGAAAGTCCTGGGATGCCCCAGGTTTGAGAGGCATAGGGGCGTATCATCAACCTTAGGATGGAAACACATCTGGAGTTTCCTATGTTTATTCCACAGAAAATCTCTCAGGGAACTAGCTGAAAATGCACTTCCTACTTTCACAGCAGGAGGAAAGAAGTGGCGTCCTGCCTCTAGATCCATACTGAGGCAATGAATAAACAGTATTTTAACCTACATCTAGACCCTTATATGACATGACAACCAGATAAAGTCCAGCATGCTACAATTAATTCAATAAAGAGTTAAGAACAATTCAAAGAAATAGTTCGAAATATAAATGGCAGCACACAACAAGATGAAACTGACCATCAAACACAAAGCAGAAACAGCAGCAAAATGATGGATGGGTAATAGGTCAATGAAGAAGAGCCACTGATTGGACACAAAGACTCATCCTAGCAGTGACAGGCATTATGAGCAACCAATGAGCATTCAACGTGCAAACAGAAAGGAAATGGATGTTAGTTAAAAAAAGAAGAAAAGCAAGCAGTGAATGATGAAGATGCATTTGTTGAGAAATACCCATTTTGGTTATAACTTACATCTGCGTTGTTGTCAAAGCAGACGTCCGGTCCTTTCCTGTACCGAGGGTTCTGGGTCAGCACACATGGATCAGGACCAGTAGCTGAAAGAAATCAATAAGGACAATAGCCAAAACTGCAAAAAAAAAACAAAAGAGTTGGACAGGCTTAGATACTTGAGGACTAATTCAATCAATTTTTTTTCCCTCTTTTTGGGACCCATTTCTTGGGTGGGTACTTAGACATAGTAACCACTCAGTCGACCTCTAATGGCTCTTCTGAGGCCTAAAATATGAAGAACTTTTATGGACTGTAGTGGTCTGGGAGTTATTTATTGTTGCGATTTTTATTTACTTATTTATTGGTTGGTTGATTGTCTGTGTTATTTGTGTTGTTTAAATCTGAAAACCTAAAAGTATGCAAAAAAGTCATAATAATAAGAAGAAAAAGTGTAATTCTTTTATGTGTTTGATGCTTTTATCCAAAGTGACTTACTTGGATTTATGCATTGATTTAAAACTGCAGTAAAAATATAGTAATTTTGTGAAAAATGATTACAATGTAAAATCACTGTTTTCTATTTCAATATATTTTAAATGTAATTTCTTCCTGATATGGCAAAGCTGAATTTTCAGCATCATTTCTCCAGTCTTCATTGTCACATGATCCTTCAGAAATCATTCTAATATGCCGATTTGCTGCTCAATAAATATTTCTTATTATCATAATTATGTTATCTTATTATTATTGTCATTATGTAGACAAAGTCTGCTGCTTAATTTTTTGATGGAACTATGATTTTTTTTCAGGGTACTTTTATTAATAGAAAGTTCAAAAGAACAGCAAATTTGATCAATTTAGTGCATCATATTTGAGCTAGCTAAATAAATAAACAAAGAAATAAATACTTCATGCTTTCCTTAAATAGTTTGCCCAAAATTAAAATTACCCCATTTTTTGAAGTCCAAAAAAGTACATTCAGGGCAGTGGTCTCAAACTCAATTTCTGGAGGGCCACAGCTCTGCAGAGTTTAGCTCCAACCAGCTCCAAATCACACCTGCTTGGAAGTTTCTAGTAATCCTGAAGAGCTTGATTAGCTGGATCAGGTGTGTTTGATTAGGGTTGGAGCTAAACTGTGCAGAGCTGTGGCCCTCCAGGAATTGAGTTTGAGACCAATGATTCAGGGGGGTTAATAAACGCCTTCTGAAGCAAAGCGATGTGTTTGTGCAAGAAAAATATCCATATTTAAACCTTTACAAACAATAATCTCAAGCTTCTGCTAACTGTAGTACGCACATTCACGAGAGAGTGGCGTTCCAGCAGATGGTGTAGGATGCAGGTGTAGCGTAAGCCTTTATTAACCCCCAGAGCTGAGTGGAGCACTTCTATGCTGGATCTCGACCCCCATTCAATGCTATTATAAAGCTTGTAAGAGCCAGGACATTTGTTAATATAACTCCGATTGGATTTGTCTGAAAGTCATATACAACTAGGATGGCTTGAGGGTGAGTAAATAATGGGGTAATTTTCATATTTGGGTGCACTATTCCTTTAAGAATCAAACCCATGACTCTGTTGTTTCAAGCACCATGCTCTACTGATTGAACACGAGTGAATCATTTGAAGGATACAGGGCTGTTCAGCTTGTCTCAGTGGTTTGGGATCGCAGGACAGACAGGAACTCTTGGCGTCAGAGATCAAAAAAACCAAATTTGTGTTTGGGAGCTTCTCAGCCCGGTACATTCTTGGTAAAAAGGTAGGAAAGTCATTAAAACAAACAGTTCTCGCAGTTCTCAACAGCTTATATCATAAGACAAGTATCATGGTTTATGCATCTCTAAACTAAGCAGACATAAGCCTCATCGAGACCACCCATTTTACGGAAGGAGCAGTAAACATAAGCAAGCATAAACGACTGCCGACTCAAAACATTATGCGTAAGCTCTTTGTCAGGAATCAATTAAACACATCTTACATATCCAAAACCGTCCCAACATGTGTGCAAGTCTTTAGTAAGTGTAACAGGAGATGAGCATATTATATTGGAAATCTGCGTCGGTTGGCAGCTTGTTACGTACTGTCATCACCGAACGAGTTTCAGCCATGAGTTTTCTTTATAGCGTTCTCTTTTATAGCTCTCCTCCCTCGCTTTAAAACAGAGTGACACGGGTTTTTGCACCGGCCTGTGTGCATGTAAACGTATAAATGGGGATGTGTGCATAAAAGTTCTTTGTTACACATCACCTGCTCTCTCGGTAATCACAGGCTGTTTACCGCTACCCAGCATGCCCGGCGGTGCATAACGAGCCTCAGATCATAGCGGCCATCGGGTCACACTCACACAAACACATATGCACACACACACACACACACACACACACACGGAGGGCTTGATGATCACAGAGAAGCATGGAGTCCTAAAGTTCAGTGGCTCACATCTGTCTGCCCTCTGAGGAATGCTTTATTCATGAGAGCAGGAGAGGTTATAAGAGCACAGAAGAGTGCTTCAGGTGGGTTTATGTGGTCTCCATGAAAAACATCCTGTGAGAAACTATAGTGATGTTCCAAAACCTAGTGAATTGCATACTCAGACATAATTTTAAAAGGTTAGTTCACACAAACATGAGCATTTTGTAATCACTTACTCAAAGTCATGTCACTCTAAATGTGTACAACACTGGAACTCACTAATTTTTAAAGTATGGAAAAAAAAACGCCTTGTTCAAAATAATGTTTCACAAAATAATTATAGCAGTGCTGACCTGGAAATAATTGCAGCTTTGTGACTAAAATGTAAAAGTTGCAATGAGTTGTTGGATTTATTAAATATGTTTAACACATTTAGTGAACTTGACATAACAATTGTTCAATTCTGTAACTTATCTACAAAACAAATCCAGAATGTTCACTACCATTCAAAAGTTTGGGGTAAGTTCTTTTTTTTTTTTTAAGAAATTAATATTTTATACAACAAGGGTACACTAAATTGATCAAAGTAGACATTTATAATATTACAGACGATTTATGTTTTAAATATATGCTGTTCTTTTGAACTTTGTTCATCAAAGAATCATGAGCAAAAAATGTATCAGTTTACACAGAAATATTTAGCATAAAATATTAAACTATTTTCAACATAGACAATAAGAAATATTTTACATATCAGCTTATTTGAATGATTTCTATGACACTGAAGACTGGAGTAATGGCTGTTTAAAATTCAGCTACTCCGTCACAGGAATAAATCATGTTTTAAAACATGAAAACATTTAGTTATTTTAAACTAAAAATATTTTAGTAATTTTAAACATATTAAATTGTAATACTTTCAAAATATTTCTGTTTTTTTTGTGCTTTTGATCGAATACATGCAGCCTTGTTAAGTATAATTTGAAAGAGGCTTGCAAAATATATATACTTTGTAAAAAAACAAAAAAAATAAAAACGTACCAACCCCAAACTTTCGAACAGTAGTTAGGTTTAACAAAAGTAACATATATTGTACTCTTTATATGGCGGAATTGAATTATCATTGAAGTGCAACAATATTAAATATTGCAAATAATAATATAAATTTTTTGCAAATATTATTGTGCCCCAGTATACAACACTGAAAACATTACATTTGCAACTGGATATATTTGCATTTATTTCTCAGTTCACATTTTCTTTTTTGATTAAAAAACAGCAGTCTGTAGGAAAAATTTCAATACACATATATTATTTTAATTGTCAACTTAACACTTATTTTCATTCTTTAAAAATAAATCATGAAACATTAACATTGAATTACTGAATTTATTGGCACTTATTGGCAGTTCATCAGTCGGCTGAGAGTGTTTATTTGTTGCCTAAGGTCTTAATTCAGTATCGATACCATGGGACCAGAGGATGGTACTGTACTGAAGCCAAAATTTCAGTATTGATTCAAGCCTAGTGGCAGTAGACAGCAAGGCAGCTCACTAGGTTTCAAAACAGAGGCATTATATAACCTCCGAGGGGAGTGTGTTGTCCAAAAAGCTCTATATCTGTAGGGCTGAAAGAAGACAAGCAGACCTTAGATAACCAATGCAAAAGTCTAAAGAAATATGAAGTCTATTTTGCCGTAGTCTCCTTGATGTTCTGTTTTCTGCAATTCCTGCAGTCCTCTCATCAGTACATGCGTTCCTTTAGCCTGAGCTGGTGTTGATGTCTCTGCGAGCGAGATTGAATTACATACGCCGAAGCTCAGGTCTCGAGCTCCTGAGATCTCACAAATGGATTTCTCTTTATGGCTCTTGTTAAACTTTACATGTCTAAAGTAGTTAACATGGAAGAAAAACTATCGTACGCAGAGTCACACGTGGGGCTCGTAAAAAAGGCGTAGAGTTTCTGTCAGGCCGAGCGCCCCCACCCACCCCAACACGTTTCGCTTTAGCGGTGTTACATTAAACAGCACAGCCGGCGGGATTTACGGCCGGCTGGACGTCGGATGGATCCGGGGAACGAGGGAGCGGGCAGAGGGGACGGAAAGAAAAAGAGAAGGAAAGCTGAGCTGCTCGATCCTTGGAGAGATGACTTACCGGGATGAGCAATTATCCAGGAAGAGACAGAAAGACAGTGCTGACATCATCTGCACATGCTCACACGCACTCCCACACACGCGGACGGAGGGAATGCGGATGGATTTATGCGCAAACAAACAGAAAAACAGTCCTCACCTGGAGCAGTTTCCACAGTCCATAGCTCCAGAGAAAGATTTGTTCTCGTTCTCAAAGAAATACTGAGTCTGTTCGGTGATACAGCTCTCTTTGGAGAACGCATCCGAGAGGTCATCCTCCGAGTACGCTGCAAACACACAAACACACCAGCAACATGCTGTGTATATCAAAACACACAAGCGCAGATTAACAGCCTATATATCAAGCACACTCACAAAATGCATGCTGCTTGTTCAATTGATGCAAATTACTACAGCAGGTCTTGAACATTTTGACAACTTAAAGGGGTCATATGATGCGATTTCAAGTTTTCCTTTCTCTTTGGAGTGTTACAAGCTCTTGGTGCATAAAGAAGATCTGTAAAGTTGCAAAGACTAAAGTCTCAAATCCAAAGA